TATAATTGCCTGCACTTTATTACTCCCAATTTATCGAAATTTCAGGTAATTTCATGCCGCACAATTTGTGTAAGTATTTGCGTCGGATCGGAACGCAATTCAATTCATTAGTTGCAATATTTTTTTTTTTGCATTTTCTGTTAAAAGTGCTTAAAAGTTTTACATAATTTTGCTTTTATTTACGATTATGTTATTTAGAATTGTGAAAGAAAAGTTAAACAGAAAATTGCAGAAGAACGATTGCTCGATGTGCACATTAAAACGTAGCACCTGATTAAATAGATTCGATAAGTCCTTAAGCAAATTTACATTTTCCAATTTATATTAATCGATGAAATACTCAGTAGCGATTAAATTCCTCCTTGAAAATGAAACCATCTTGTACTTTTTTTACATTTAATTTCATCAAACTTAATGAGCAACATGTAACCAAATTATCTAATAAGATTGAATGAGGTACGAGTGCGATTCCAAGGAAAAAGAGAGTTTAACGCCGTCTACGTACATTAAGATATGGCTGAGTGTAATTACCGAACGCAGACCATTGATGTGTAATATGAATGAAAAGGCTGCCTTGATGAGCACCTGACGTCACGGAGAATTCGTCAGATATTATGGGAATAACAGAACCCCGGAATGCCTGCTATTAAGATAAAAACTTGTCCCTTAAAATAAGTACAAACGAAATCCGGAGGCCTGGAGTTTGAAGGTCAATAATTGATGACTAACTATGTCAAAAGCTTTACTGGAAGCAGTGTATACCACATCCGAGTGCGGGCACGCAGCTTTGAAAATATTTCAAGTAAAAGAGCTTCAGTACAGTTGATGTCCCTTCTTTCAAATCTTATGTAATGTGCTTCATGTCCGTCTAAATAATCGAAATATCAAAACCGAACTTTCACACATTCAGAGCCACAGCTTAGTGCCGCTTAACGCGACTCCGAGGCTGTTGAGACCGTCGTACGTATCTTTTCTTAGCTGAGCTAATGTAGTGAAACTCAAACATTTATTCCGTTTAATAATTATTTTCACGTTTTGTTTATTGACTTCGATAATATAGTTCTCTTTTAGAAAATTGCAGAAGGAAATTTACAATACCATCATCAACACTACTCGTCCATTAAACCTCAATTAATCCCACCTTTATATCCAACAACTATTGAGAAAACCAAGATCCAAACATTTTCGAGAATTCGCCTTGGTCATACAATTGCAACTCACCAATGGATCTTGAAGAAGTCTTCCTCGTCAATCTGAAGTTATGGACAAATTCTCACTATAAAGCGCATTCTATCCTTTGGACATTCTAAAATCAGTTTCAGAACAGAACATCAATTCAATATATTATTTTATTAATACTACTAAGCTCATTATCTAATGTACATTTATTTAAATTAGAGCCGATAGCCTGTGTTGCTAGTGGTCAATGTCTTTTTTTTTTTTTTAGAATTTATTTCATTAGTTTAAAATTATAATAACAATAATAATAAGATTGTGAACAAAAAAACGTCGAATTTGTGACTTATTTTCTCATTATTTTTTCTAAATAAATATCGAATGGTTAAAGTTATAGATAACATTTAATTAAATGGTTCTCAAGTGAGTCTTTTAAATGAGATTTAGTTGCTTTAAAGATACATAATCAGTGCTGTCATATCAGCTTTATGGAATCAGTTTTGTTTTGGCTTCAACTAGATTTTTTTGCATTTATTGAAGTCCATTTTAAACTGCAATAATTTATATTATATTATTAATTATATGATTTTTGTGTTAAACCTAAACTATAAGTGTATAAGTGTTTTACTAGCTTTTCAACCCTTTTAGAGTCTAAAGTTTAATCTCAATATCGTACTCGCTAAATGCTATCATATCAACTCTCCTAAATACGCGCGCTTTGCCTATGTGGTGTCTAGATGAGCTTCTAATCTCGATACATTCATGGGATTCGATTGAAATACATTTTTTCACTATTATGAGTTGTCTAGCTTTTGCAGGTTTGCAATCGCTTGAGAGTTCACCTCTAACAAGGATTTACAGTGGTTATGGGGGCGCCTCTACGCCAAATGTGTACATGCTTTTTTTCTCAGTTTATTTATACATGAAATTTATACTTTTTATTTTCTTATTTTTTTCTTATTTTTCTTTAAATAATTTTTAATCGTTATTGATAACACTTATAACACAGCATAAGCCTTACATCTAAGAGCTATTTAAGTTGGGCTATTAATTTACGTTAGCTGAATTTCATGTGTAAATAAAATAAACAAATAAGGGAACATGTTTTTTACAATTAAATTAATAAATCTATAAATCTTCGATTAGACTTTTCTCTATCTATAAATGCTTCGATTAGACTTTTTGCCTCAGTGAAATAGCTAAAGATTTAAAAAAAAAAAATTTCTTTTAGTTACGAAACGTACGTAAGCACTTGCAGTTTTTTTATAAATACACTGATGATTTATTGTTTTTGTCTCGGTATTTTAGTCCATCCCGCTTCACTTTTCGATTCAGACTTGCATAAAACGTAGTAAAAGGAATGGTTAACTCGCATTTCTTTTAATTCTCTTTTTATATGCGATTTCCTAACAAAGTTATTAGCTTATTAATTCGAGAACCCTAGTTGTTTTCAACTTGTGCGAACATATTGAAGTACGAAAGTAAAACGAAAGTAAAAAAAAAAAACATTGAGTTAACCGGCTATTTTTTCAAAGCTGTACATTTTGCTATTTAATATACTGATAATTTCACAATTAAAGTTTGTATCATACAAATTCCTAAAATAAACATTGAAAAATTATTAACAATATTTTTTTGATAATTTTCTTGTCATTTTTTAGCAATGCAGGAGAAAATTTCTATTGTTATAACACATTTCGTAAATCCACACTTGTTTTGGTATTATGAAGTTGGTGATCACACCGAATTATGCGAAATCGAACAACAGCTGCAAATTCACAAAGATATACGTGCAACAGAAAATCCAAAATCAGGTGAAAAAGTGGCAATAAACTTCGCTCCATGGAATAAACTTGTACGTGCCGAAATATTATGTGAGACCAAATGGCAGAATGAATTTATTGCTTGGGCTTTAGATTACGGGATTGCTTTCCGAACCAAAAATGAGCATATACGCCGCCTTCCACTGGGTATGGCAGATCAAGTTAGTCGAATTCGTCGTGGGGGTGTGTCTAATATTTTGCCCGCCGAAATTGAATATGACTGCATGGAAGGTAATGTAGTTATGATGACAAAGGATAATTGGTCACAAAAGGCTTGCGATGTTTTGGAAAAATTACTAATGAACGCTTCCTCACTAACTTTCGTGAAAGAATTTCAGTCGAAAGACAATCATAATTGGGGCAGTTTGGTTGTGGAAAATCATCAGGGTAAAATTTTCAATGCCCGCGAATCTTTAATATCAGCCAAACTAGCTTTGGACGAGGCAATAAATTTTAAAGATAGCATTCGCAATTTAAAGTCAACTGAAATTCCTCGACATCTCTCAAGTAGTGGCAACTTAGTAATAAAAACTAATGCCTTCAAAAAAGGCACAGCTGGTCTTTGTCCCGTGGAAAATGTGGTGACTTCAATTGATGAACATACAAGAAGTAAGATTGAAGATTGGTATGCTCGCAACGAATGCCAGGCCAATTTATCAGATGCGGAATCGACACTAGAATCAAATCTTTCTGTAGAAGTGGTGGACGATGTCACCTTTGATGATTCAGTATCTGCAAAACACGAAAATACTTGCAAACCTTCGGATGGAGTAGTTAAAAAAATGCAAGCCGGATTTACAAATTACATTGGCAGGGAAGACACTTTAGTTAAAAACAACGGCGCGATGAAGTCTATGGAAAATGGTCTTTTCAAAGTAAAAACAAAGACTTTGGCCAATTCGCCTAAATCAACAGGGAAGCCTTCGATTGAAAGTCCTATAAATGATGAAGATGACGAATATTCTGATGCAATGTCATCCAGAAATGTAGACAAAGAAAGTGTAAGAGAGGTAATATAAATTCCCATGGGAGAGATTCTAAGAGATGTTTATTTACCGATAATTTCATCATAAATTTTATCATTCCTTCAACACGCAAAAGGAGGATATTTCAAATACATCTAAGATGAACATAACCAAGGCTGATGAAGAAGCGGGTAGTCTCTTCAGATTGAAATGCTTTAAAGAAATTAGCCAAAAGGATTCCGAAAAAGTAATTATATGTGAAAATTGTTACTGAAGTTTTAATATACATTTGCGTCTAAAATTTTCATTTCAGAATGTACCAGATCCTTATCGTGGCTTTACTATAGTACCCGGAGGTTTCGATCTTTCTCGTTTAAATAAGTATCGTAATGAAAAAAGTCATTGGCATCGTAAAAAAACAACGCTTTCCAACAAATTAAACGAAGTCACTTTTGAGAACAATCGAAATCCATCATCTTCATCAAAAAAGTCGCTTAACAACAAGTCCCCAAAGGATGGAATGCAAAGAAATGGTTTGATTTCGCGTAAATCAGTCGAAATAAGTGATAAACCTAAAGAGAGTGAACAAAATATAATTGTGCCTTCTTTAGATGACGTTATTAAACCAAGAAAATGTGCAGTAATGAAATCGTCGCCTCCTCTGATAGTCAGAAAGCCATCAAAAGAAGACGCTTCTGCAAATATATCGTAAATTTTATTGTAACACATTATCTTGTCCCACCTATTATTGCAGACTAATATACACTGACTTCATCTACCTTTTCCGCATTACGAGAAAACAAATTCGAAACTATTTAAAAAATTTATTTATTCTTATTATACTCACTGTACGATACTAATTTTGTTTTTTTTTTTTTTTTTTTTTCTTAATAATCTATGAAGACCTGAAAGGAAGCTAAAATAAAAAGATATAATCTATTTTTTCCTCATTACGAGAAAAAAATTTCTAAAATTTTTAAAAAATTTATTTTTTCTTATTATACTCACTGTACAATACTAATTTTTTTTTTTTTTTTTTTCATAATCTATGAAGACCTGAAAGGAAGCTTCAAGAACACTATAAAGTATATATATTCTTGATTATCGTGAAATTCTGAGTTGAGTTAGCCATGAATATCCGTCTGTGTGGTGTTTGTTGTTTGCACTCTCCTGGTTACAAAAAAGAAGATATTGACTTCAAATTTGTTAGAAACACGTAGGTTCATATTGAAAATGGGCCAAATTCGTCAGAGCAAAGGCCCGCTGTGAACTGTAAACTGAACGCAACTCCGTTTTTCTAATCAAAAATTTGTGAATTCTTGCTTATTACTCAGAAATTATAAAAATTATAAGACTAAAACTTTCCACAATTGCTTTACGGAGCACTTTACTCGTAACGTGCAAAAATGGAAAAAAATCGTCCATGCCCACACAAAGTCACATGTTGATTTTTTTCACTTTTTTGAGGTTTTATGCTTATTTATCATAGCCCCAATAAGATAGAATGTTCACAACTATTTCATACATTTCTCAAATGAAGATATATTATCTGCCTAAAAATGGGTTAAGTCTAAATTGAACACGGTACAGACACCGCGATAATACTATTATTAAGAAAGAAGAGCAGAATGCGAAAAGCGAAAACTGATGGATATGCGAGAATATAACTTTCTTGTTTTAAGTAGTATATGTTTATTTATATGATGTAGTGCAAATTATTTGAATTGCCCTTTTAAATGCGAAGATTAATTAAGTTAAACTTATGGAGATATTACGGAATTATTCCTAATAACGTTACAACACTTCTTATGCTTATATACATCACAGTCTGGCAGCATCTCCCACCACTACTGCATCAACAAATTCGATAACGCCCGACGCAAAGATTTGCGGTACAAGGCCTAAATTAAAATCAACAACGCCTACTATTGCATCAGGAAAATCACAAACAATCGGTTTAATGGCTTCCAGAAAACAACGCAAACTAAAATCACCGGATACCCAATTTGATAAAATTGACAAAATACTTCAAAAAGCTGAACGCGCAAAGCAATTGGGCGATGAAAATATTGTAGACTTAAAATTTCCAAACACTTCATTTGAACGTATGGATCCGAGCTCTACCTCAATGTTGGAATTGCAATTTGATAACAATAATTTGTATTCATCTTCTAATAATCGAGCATTATTAGAGAATCGCGTAAATAAAGATAAATCAAGCACTGGTTCAAATAAAAATGAAAATTGCAAAAATGCCAAAGCAAATACTGAGCAACAGACTTATTCCATTGTGCATGTAAAAGAGAAACAAATGATCCCTACAATCAAGGGCGATAGGGAAATACGAATTCGTGCACCTGAGGTGTTGGCACATTCAAATATACCTTTATATCCTTTGAAAACAGTAAATGATGCACAATTTTTGCCACAGATACACAAGGAGATGATGCATATGCGGATAAACAAAATTTATCGCGTACAAGTTTTTGCTTGGTCACACTTATTAAGAAACAATTCTCTCTTTATAATCAATCCTAGTAAATCGGGTAAGACATGGTCATATTTGCCAGTTTTGTGCAACGATATCTACTATGATGTAAATGGTATGACGTCGACTTATGGACCGATAGCCATCGTTCTAGTAGCCTCAGCGAAACATGTGGAGCAAGTTACTGACCTTTGTCAACGTTTACTGTGTGGTCTAAAGGATGAAGCTCCGATTGTAGTGGGATCTTTTGGCTTACGCAATTTTAAAGGTACTAAAATTAAATTATTAAACAGTTGCGGTATACTGGTAACAACTCCTTCAAGCCTGCTACGGTTACTTAGGGACAATCAGAATGAGCATTTGTTCGATGCGAAACGTTTAAAGCGCATTGTTGTCGACGACATAGATTTACTGCTATCGCGTGCTTCGGAGGACTTCCAAACAGCCCTTAAGGCTTTATTTACAATGTGTAAAAAATCAGAAACGAAAACCTTGAATGCTCAGATGGTAGTAACGTCTCGTTGTTGGGACTTTTGGTTCGTAAAGCTTATGCGTCTGGCAAATCAGCCGTTGCTCTTGATCGGCGATTTTTTGGAAGCTAGTGTCTATGGCAGAGTCGAACATTCGATCAAGTTGCGTTCTAAGTTGGAAAAGGACGAAATGATATTGCGTTTTCTGAAAAATTGCAATAAAACTGTTCATATAGGCAATCGCACCATTATCATATGTAGCGATGATGAGGAGGTGAAAAGAGTAATAGGATTTTTAACAGAAAATGGTCATTGCAGAATTGGTTATTATAGCTTTTCCACTGCAGCGGAGCGCCTCATCATTGACGAATGGAAACTCAGGGTGAGAAATTGATGAATGAATAGCATTTTGTGAAGAACGTTTAAAATTAATTATTTACAGGCGTCGACTCCAATACTTGTGTGTACAGATGCTGGATTAACTGATCTTCAGATTCGAAATGCGCATAATCTAATACATTATTCTATGCCGACGTCGTGGACCCAATTCACTAAACGTTTCTCGGTTCTCATTAAAAGCTATGACAATTTGTTATGTGACAACTTTAAAAAAATACTGTGCTCTGATCAGAATGCCAATAAAGTTCGCTCTCTAATACTTTTGGACGAGGATAACAATCTCCAACTTCCACGTTTGGTTGATTTCATGCGTATGCACGGTCAAACCGTACATCGGCATATACAAGCGGTAACAAAAAGTTTATTGAACGCTCGTGAAGAGCAACGTGTCTCCGAGGGGGTGCAGCTATGCTCGGACATTTTAGAATACGGCGAATGCAATGAACCACGTTGTGATAGGCGTCATGGATTAACAAGATTGGATGTTGTAACCGAAAATGACGACATACCGACACACGGCGAAATACGTATCCACATTCTTAAGGTAAAACTTTCAACCAAGTATAAATGTTAAGTCATTCTCAGCAATTCTTAAGTATGAAATACATTTAACTTGCTTATGGATTATACGAAACTCTCAATTTGAATAATTTTGCTAATTTGCATATTTGATGTACAAAATAGGTACACTCGCCCACTTACTATGTCGCTCGTTTACTAGAACATAAGGGTCTCCACTCCAAGCAATGGTCTGAAGTCAGATGTTCACGGAAAGCTGCACTGTTTGCTGTCCAACTTCATTCATATTACCGCGATCCAAATAATAGGGAACAATATTGGCCACCTCAGATCGGTGACATTTGTATTTACAATTATTTAAATTGCTATAGAAGAGCTCGTATATTTGAAGTGCCATCCCTTCCCAAAAATGTCAACGTGATTCCTGATTCTTTGGCACTTACCCTTAAACTTATCGACGACGGTATTGTCATAACAGCAGTACAGATTAAAGAAATTTGCCTTT